AGAAAAAACAAAGTGGACAAAATCGACCGTTAACGCGAGATAAAATTACACTAATTAAGCTATGTGTAAGTACCGTGTAATTAATTATATCGCTACCAACAGGTCATTGTAATTATACGATGCTTCATTTGGTCCAAATAAACTTTTGTCTCCCCAAACTCCAAAATCTGTAACATGTTAACACACGTCACGCTGATTAATTCAATGTACTGCTTGCGTGTGTGCATGCGTACGTGTACGTGTGCGTGTGTGTGTGTGTGTGTGTGTGTGCGTGCGCTTGTGGCTATATGTTCGTTGTATGAGCTGACTGATCAAAATTGCCCGTATCTAACCGTACAATACTACACATTTAACTAAAATCAACGTTCGCCAGTGCGTTTGACACAATGCTGATTTGAAATTTTCATGGCCGACCAGTTAATCCGCGACACAGCGGGAATTTGACAACGAAATACACATCGCTCGCGTCCAATAAAAGATCATAAATCCGTCGTTTCTGCGAAAGAGTCTAGCAAGGAGGAAGGGAATGGGGAGAAGAAGGGAAAAAGAAAGGAAACAAATAGGCAAAGAGGAGCGAAAAAGAAAGAAATTAGCCCGAGCCCCTGAAACTTCGCCGGGTTTTATAAAATTACGCGGAGCTACTAAATTATCTAGTTCCTCTAGTTAGGAGGTAGCAAGACGTGTACTAAACAAAAAGTTGGTATCCATTTTTTATACAGGTCAGTAAATTGCCTCACCGAAGTTTAACTACGGCTCTTGTTAAGACGGAAACTTCGAATCGAAAGGGAGGAGAGGAGAGGAGCCTCTTTCCCAGCGAAATGATCCGCGCGCGTTTCTTGCGGATCGAGCTAATTCGCCATACTTTGCCGATGCATATTCACGAATCAATGTGGTATAAAAGCCACGCGGAATACGGCGGCAAGTTTTTCTGCGGTGCAACGAACGCTCTCTTCTCCCTCTTCTTTCTCGGGCACAGCGAGAGAGCCGCGCAGCGCAACAATGTCGGCGGATAATCTCGTTCAGAGGTAAAGAACTGACAACTGACTCGCTGACGTTCACCAGAAGACCGTTCAGATCACAAACGAATGTCCGTCTAACCGTGATTATCCTCCTTATATTATTCGCACGTGCCGCGCGCGAATCTCAATATTCAACGAAACTTTTGCGTTTATCTCGCCCAGCCGGATCGGAATTTTTCCAGCCGCGTGCAGCGCCGCTCCTCGTTCCTCCGACTGAAAGTCCTAAATCCTGCGCGACGCAGAATTTCATCGATATTCTCTAATAAATTCGAACGGGTCGCTCGAGAGATCCCCAGTTCTAGTTGTAAATATTCAAAGTTTTCATTCCAATCAGTTTTTTCCTCCCCCGTGTTCGGGGAACCCTCCTCCCTCCGCTTTCCGCAGCGCGGCTCCCCGCCCGCGCCGTTAAGCTCGAGTCCCAATTCTAACATGGCCGCATCGCATCGCGCGAGCGGCTGGAACAATCGAACTTTTGCCCGAGATGGATCTCCGCGGGCGGAGGAGGCAAGGAAAGAAGAGAAAGGAGAAACTTCCTCGCGCGCGTAACCCTCGGCGTACAAGGAGGCTCACGCGCACGGCCTGAAATCGAATCCCGAAATTCTCGATGGGCCGTTGCGGCGAATTCCGGCGGAGCCTCTCCGGAGCACCCTGTGATTTACGCCCGAAGTAAATCATCGCGCGTTATGCGTGCCTCTCGAACTTCAACGAGCCCTTCGCCATTCAAGATGTAAAATCGCGCGACGGGGAGAAACGGTTCGCCGCGCCGCCTGATTTCGTGCCTCGGCACTCGGCGCCGCGCCTTTCTCTTTTTCTTCCTGCCCTCTCTCAGAGATCGCGCGCAATGTCTCCCCCTCGCCGCGCGTTCATTAATCTTCCGTGACTTCCGGCAAGCCTCGCGCGCGCGCGCGCGCGCGCGCAACGACTGTATCTCATTCGAGAGATTACAAGCGGCGAATAAGTGAGACGCCCTACGCGTAACCGGAGAATTTCCCGTGTTCTCGATTCTAATCGCAGCTGAAATCGCGGCGGATCAACTTTTTCTCACGATGATGCGACAGCGAGACATTAATAATTCGCTGTGAACGTGCACGACGGTAAAAGCGGCAATGCGTCGCAGTCGCCGCGGACAGAGAGCGTCGACTTGTCGCGGCAGCGATTTATTTGGCTCACAAAATGCACCGCCAGCGTCTGTGCGACGTGCAAAATATAACGTCGATGTATATTTTCGTTTGGATGTACGAGCGCTCTTTCCATCGTGCCGTTGCATTTGCACTCAAAACGCGCGACAGACGCGTGTGCTACCGAACCGACGACGACAACGACGACGACGACGACGACGACGACGACGACGACGACGACGACGACGACGACGTGCGAAGAGAGGTAGGGGAAATTAAATTAAATTTAAATTAAGTTCAATTAATTAAGCCGCTTCCCCCGTGGGAACTACGCTCCTGCTACGCTCGCTCGTTGTCCCTGAAATTCACATCCTGCGAAAGGGCTGCCTGAGAGGGTAGTGATCCTTGTCTGGCGCCGGATACGGAACTAATCTCTTTTAAATTAGTATTAAATTCTAAACGGTCCCGAGTCCGTACGCGGTATTATTAAATTCCGCTGCGGTGCCACGTGTTGCCGTGAAATTTTCCCGCTTCCGGGGGCCCGATGTTTTACACCGATCATAAATACACTGGACTCTCCTATTACGCGCCGGCGGACTACGTGCGCGCGCGCTACGATTTCCGCGATATATACGATATATTAATCTTTCATCCCTGAAACTGCCTCGACGAGCTTTAAAGACCGTTTCGAAACATCCGCGGATTTTTCATGACGCGAGATCACGCGTATTCAATTCCGCTCGGCGCGACCGCACTGAAGAACACGAGAGTTCTCGTAAAAGCACGGCGAATCAAAGGCACGACATCTCGAACAATAGCTTTCCCGAGTCGAGCCTCTGTATATGTACCTCTGTGCCTCCGAGCTAAACATAATTGAATACGATCGAATGTGTAAAATTTCAACAAGATCCGCCATTGCGAATACTTCGCTCGGCGCGCTCAGGCAAGCGATACGACCCGGAGTATTCCTTCTTCGCTTCTTGATTCGACGCGAGCTTGCGTCAGCTCGGCCATTATTCTCCCGAACTCGCACTCCGTCACAAGTTGATCCAGGATCGCATATGTTGGATCGTAACCGATGCTGTAAGTGGCAGGTCGCGAGACACCGCTGCGAAAAGAGATATACGATAACGACAGACAATTCGAGGGAGCTTTCGAACCGTTGTCGGTACTGTGCCAGAGAGCCGAGACTACCTGTACCAGGCTGTGTGAACTGTGTCGTCCCGGTAGGTATTATCACATATATACGCAAACACACACATATACAGCACTTACATATATGAGCGCTTTGGTATTTAAGCAACCAATTACGTCGTATACCGAACGATCGTAACGGAGGGTCGTAATAACGAGGAACGAGGCGACTGTTCCACCGTTGTGCCGGTGCTGCCTTATAAATTTTACTGGAATTGGCCGCGCAGAGCCGAAGAGTCACGCATATATAGCCGGTGGTAATGATACCGGGAACGGTATTAGAATTTTCGAAAAAGAAGTGCCGCCTCTGTCGGCATACATCGTGCGCCGCAAATCGCCATGTGCGTTGGCCATGCGCGTTAATTGCCGCGCGATAGCGAGGTCGATATCGCGATACTCTGAGCTCTCAAAATGGACTTCTCGAGGACACGAGGGACGTGCGCGAATAATTGGAGGATAATGCTTCGTTGGTGCTTCGTAGGCGGCATCGAATTTTAGGTCGGAGGCAAACTAAGGAATCGTCGTGCGAACAGCATTAGCGTAACTCTACTAACCGGCGGCATATAATGACAAGTGAAAAAGACATTGAAATAGATCGATGCAAGTATGTAACGTCGTACAACAATGTCGTGCCAACTGCACGAGACATTGAGATAAATGCGAGATTATGCGAATCTAAAGGTAGAATAAGTTAATTTTTGTGAAGACCGCGAGACATCGAGTTTCTTCAATCTCTTGCACAATTAATCTAAAAACAAAATTTCGACTCGGAAGAGACAGTACAATATGCGTATCTGCAATATGCAGGAAGATCAGCTACGAAATATCGCTTTTGAACTACTTCGAAAAAGACAGCTACCTGCGTTCACCTTAACGTGCAATTTTCCATTTGCGGAAATTGTTATTTCTTTATTTGGGGGCATGCTCCGGGGGGGAGGGGGGGCGGCGGGGGTGCGGTCGAAAGTTTCTCTTTACTTCAAGAGAAGCGGGACAGAGCCCGCGGAGTTTTTCCCTCTCGAAATAGTCGCAAACGGCGCTCTTCTTTCGTACTAATAGAACGCATCTACCTACGTCGCAACTTGAAACTTGCAAAATATTCTGCAGAAGTTGCGGTTGCGCGCAACCGAGTCGGGGTCACGTTTCTGACTGGAGGCCGGCCCCGCGGAGGCTGAAAAATGAATCTTCTCCGGTGAGGCGAGATAGGTGCTGGGATGGTCATACATTTCGTACGAAAAGGTCTTCTCTAGAGTTTGGCTTTTTTCTGCTAGCCGAAACTATTGCACGCCGACACGTAGAGCCGCTGCCGTTCCATATTTCACGGCGATGAATTACAAGTAGGCACTCGGCGCGAATTTCGGCGTGGATGCCAAATTTATACGGTAAACTCTAAAAGACGCGCTACCGCTCGTCTCACATGTCGATATCGAGATCGACGATTGGTGAAAATTTCGTGCATCCCAATTATTATCGCGTCTCGCGTCGTCTCGCAAGTTGCACGCTGCAACTTTTTGGTTTTGGGGGAAAATACGTGTTTTGTCTCGCGCGTAAATAACATGTGACACATATAGAATATATATATATATATATATAAGTAATATATAAACGTATATATAAACGAGAGATCATTTATCCGAGGCGCACGAATTATTGGCCTCGTATTTCCTCGCGTCTTTTTTCCCCATTTTATCATGTTGGCTGAAATAACGTGCTAAAAACAGACGATATCACGCAACGTGTAAATTGAACAATCCGGACAGCAGCTCCAGATAAATAAGCGGCTTGCGGAGCAACGTCAACGGTAGCGATGAAACTTTAACTTCGATAATCCACCCTTCGTACTTTCGAAGCGAGCCCTCCCTTTCTTTCGTATGCCAACCAAAGTACGCCCTTAGTACGCCGCCCTAGAGCCCTTATATTCCGGCCAGCCAGAGTAAATAAATCAACGCGCCGCCTCAATATGTTCAGCGCCGAGGCAGCGATTACTCACGCTAAATAAATAGCGGATAAGCGTGGCGATTATTGCGCTGAATAGCGTTACGTTAAGCGTCCAGCGTGAAAAGGGCGGCCACTCGTCAACCGCCCGCAACTAATATTCGGCAATTTATCACAATCGCGAATAAACGACTCTCGCTCGAATTAACCTGTCCGTGGTACCAAAGGGGGGGAGGGGAAAGGGAGGAGTGGACAGTGCGAAATAATTATATGAAAAGCGTTCGCGAGAGAGAAATGATAAGCGATAATGATAATAACATACATTAAGTGTCATACATGGAGCTATTGCCCTTAGCGAGAGTGATTAGCATATCGCATACACGGCGACGATCTATAAAGGGAAGAACGTGCTATGCAGAAAGGGGTCGCCGCTTGAAGCATGGGATAAATACAGGCGGCGTTAATAAAGTCTTATCGGCGTGAGGCCATGCGTGTCGACTTAAAGCCACGGACGCACTAATCCGCTATGCTAATGTCAGTCGGCCGGGAAAACAGTCGAGCAAGGTAATGTGGCCCTCCCGGGCACGCGTATCTACATGGAACGACATTTATACACTTGACTGTATAGACATATATATGTGTGTGTGTGCGCGCGCGCGCGCGTATATAAGTATGAGAAACAATGTGGTTGCATTACGACGGTTTCGGCTATGGCGAAGGAAGGCTATACACGCTCCAGCAGAAGAGCTGCGATATATTTGTGATGCGACCACAACGACGACGGAGAGCGATCGTGCGAGCTTGCGAGCGAACGTTCTCGGAAAAACCGTGACGGAAATTAGAATTTTCCTCAAGTATTATTTCATGATACTTTACGGCTAGCACCGCGCTCGTTGGCGCCCGATATACGGTGTGTCATAACGCAGACGAAGACGCGAGCGGGAAAAGGACGAGCGAATTTCGCGACGGCAGTGCAGGTACGCCAGCATATCGGGAGGATCCGCGACGCTGACACGACGCTGACGTAATCCGAAACATTGTATAATGCGCGGCAAATCAGAAAGGAGAAAGGGACTCGATGGCGAACGACGGACCCTACGGCGAGTAAAATCCGAGTTGACGTAACGCGGCAGGATTACGCGCGGCGTAACACATCTCATCTCGTCGCGTACGGCGACTCTCGTTTCATGCATATTTCTCTTTATAAACTCTTTTTCTTTCGCTGCTTCACGTCGAAACGAACGGATATTTCATTCTACGCCGGAGAGAGTCCACCGTCTACGTTTATCTTGTCCTTTCCGTGGTTACTCGGTCAATATTTTCGGACCATGTTCTGTTCTTGCTTTTATTAGTTACTTATTCCGCGAAGATATCAAGGACGCGGCAATCAAATTATCGATGAAGTCGTCGTGGCTTCGTAATATATCGGCAAAATGAGGAATCGAAAAAGCCCCGCAACAATATCTCTTCTACTACAAAAGTACAAAAGACATTCGTTAGATCAATCATGTGCGCATATTATTATAGCGCGCCGATCAACTCAATATGACAATTTTAACGCCAAACTGTCGAAATAATGCGGCCCCCATGGGAAATGTATGTGCATTTCTGATATTATTAAAAGTTATCGAGTTATCGTCTGCACATGCGCCCCTATTTATCAAACTGACTATAAATTAACTTATTTAGAAGAGAAACTTTGTTCGTTCGATATATAATATTCATTTAAACTCTCGATGCGGAACCTGCACACACACACACACACGCGCGAGTTTCCCGAAGTTCATCTTCTTTCGGACAACTATCGCGCCATCGTGAGGGGGTTGCTCGCTCACTCTATCTTTTTTCTCAAATACGACTTCCTATAATAGTCTAAGAACATATAGAACATGAAGGCGACTTGGGACATGTAAATGTATGCTAATGGTTTCCGCGTTGGCTCGCAGGCTGGCAGAAGCGCTTGAAACGTATGGGCCACCATGATAGCGAATTGGATCTGAAATAAAAGAATATCGTATCGATCTCTGGCGTACACACATAGCGAACGCGGGCGGGGGAACGTTTATAATGCAATAAAGCACAATAATACTTCCTTCGTGCGACCTTACACTTAGCTAAAACTACGTCCGATGAAATGTTTATTTTTAGGATTTATGCGCTCCCTGCGCCCTTATCTGGTGGGGGGGGGAGGGCACGCTTAAACGCGCTTAAACGGGCATTCGCTACGAATGAAGAAAAAATAGCGAAGACACATAGTATTCATACAGCATACACTCGACAGGCTCGATATACCGCATGCAAAAAATCGCATGCGATTTTGTCCTCCCTCGTCCAACCTCTGACCGGGATTCTAGAGCGTAAAAGCTCCGCGCGAAATTAAACAACCACGTAACCCGATAAATCGTTCCGTCGATATCGCCGGAAATAAAAATTCTCTGGTAACGGATTATTTAATTAAAAACGGTACCGCGAGCCTTCGTCCACCCGTCGTCTCGCCATTCCCCGCCCCGTTACGCTCAAATGCAAACCGAATTGGGATTCGACGAGAACACGTGTGATTCTGCAAGCAGCGCTTACGGAGCTTTTCAATCCCTCGTGAAAAGCCAGTTATCGAGTTATGAAAGCGCTGTAACCACAATGAAGTCCGCGTATATGAACACGTCACGCGGAACACGCTATTTTTCATACGTACGCCCTTCCCGATTAGCGCGTTACCGCGTTTTCCGGTTCGTCGTCTTGGAGGAGACAATTTCTCAGGATATTTACGTACCAGTTGCAGACTGGTCATATATTTCTTCCAAGGGATGATCATCTTCTGTACTTTCGGCCCCAAGCAGGCGCACAGGTAGTACATATACATAATTACATGCACCGCGCAATTGGGCAACATTATGAAGGTCCACATGCCACCTGTGCAATGTCGTCTAATTATTTTCTACGCAACTCCGCAGTTTAGAGTAAATAAACCTTGTTCTACGAAGTCACGGTTTCTATAAAACGCTAACCGAACAATTATATGATCAATTTTGCCGCTTAATGCGTACCAGGCGCATATTTGCAGGAGATCCAAGCCAGAAGGAGAGTCGCTGTGTGATGGTACACATGAAGGAATGACGTTTGGTTGTATTTCTTTCGGAGTACGAAAATCACGGTATCTCCGAGCTCGGTGATTTTTAATATCAGTACCCACCACACCCATCGTGCCATCTGCAAGCAATGACAGTTTCTACGTACCAAAGAGGTCACTATATTAAATCATATTCTTTCCTCACATATTTTTTCTCTCCAATTTCCACAAATGTTCATTTCACTGAAACCCTATGCTAGACCGTGTTACATCTAGACTCCAATGACTGCGATAATATGTGATATTTCATCGTAGGTTTTAATTACAGTTGCTTACGCTGATCGACATGGGATCGTCCGAGATGACGAAGGGCTCGCATCCCACGGAAAGATGCGTTGTATAACCAGACGTGAGTATCTAAAAGACGAATGTGACATCACATAGATTAGATCTAACAATACACACGGAGAAAGATGAGACGTATATTATACAATGAATTTCTTGATTATACTAACACCATAGAATATGACAGCGCTCGCAGTTGCGACGGAAATATTATAGCAAATCATAATTTTGGTAAGCGCGTAAGGTTTTCTCTTCTTCATATATAGTGGTCCGAGGTAAAGGACGAAAGACAAATAAGCGAGTGAAATTAGCGTTACACCGAATGGATTTGACATCAAGGGCCAATTGGAAACTCTGGGATCTGTAAATTGGAAAAGAAACTTTTGAGTGTCGAAGCAGCAGAATGTTCAGAAGACGCATTTAAGTTTATAAGTAGTAGTAATAAGTTTCATATCGCGAAGCAACGATATCATAGGAAAATACAAAAAGTCATGCGGTTGTTAAAGGAGGAAATTGTGGAAACTATATTTATATATTTATATAATTTATTATATTATATTTATATATTATATATATATAAATGGAGCCTTTCAACAAAACACACGACTCCTTTTTTCATCTTATTATATTGTTACACCGTTAACTTTAATCAATCTCATTAACAATGCTCAGCTATCTCTCATATTACTTGAATTTAAAAAAAAATTATTCCCGTATGTAGGTCGCATCTATCCTACTCGTTCATCAAACTTACCCGAAATATCATTGACAAGATAGTAATAGATGTTCGTAACCCTCAAATCCTTGATGTAAAACCAACAGAAGGTGGACCAACGAACATAAACCAATTGTTGTACACATTAGCGACGAAATAACGAGACATGGAATCCAACGTCGAATCCGGTGAGAACCCGATAATGGGTGAATCACATCATTAATAAAATGTGGTAAAGCCAAAGAATATTAGATACCAGCTCACAAGTTGACAAGTTGTGTGCATGATAGAAAAGATAATTATACATAAAAATTAAATTCCTTGTCATTTATCACTAAACTAGACGAGGATTATAACTTTTAAGCTCTATACTTTCGATTCTAATGTTATTTTTGTACCGATCGTATCCAATGATATCCATTTAAGTACCTAAATTTACCGATAATGGAGAGCACTTAACCCCCCTCAACCGCAACATGTTAAATAATTTCCGATCACAAAAGCAGCGCTTTGTCGCACTCCGACTGCGCTATACCGCCGAATTTATCAAGCGACAGTTGATTACTAACATTGGTTCAATTGTTGGCTAATTGTCGAGACCAGCACTTTACCGAAATATCCGCAAGGGATAGATTTTATTTTGAATCAAACGAAATATATTCCACGTAAAGCGAGGTACACCAATTTGTTGATAAAAACAAATTTGCTGGCCGACGATACGAAATTCTGCACTCGTGTACACAATCTCCGCATAGATGCTTAATATGATGAAACTTTGGAAACTTCACCTCGCAATGAAATATTCAAAATACTCAAATGCCGGAAACAAAGTACGCACCTTCGAAGAAAGATTCGGCAAACTCTTTCCACACTGTGACTCCAATTTAAACATATCCGCCGACATTTCACAAAGAAACACTCGTGTGAAACCAATATTGGATGTTAACAACCCTTCGCACCGGTAACCTACTGTGCTTTACGTTCATCTGCAGGCCAAGAACCCCTAGCGTCGGCTTAGGGAGCAGGGTTGTAATTAACGAACAAGGGGCCCTGTGAAATTCATCGAATGCAGTCAAAATATACGTTAAATAAAGACAAAAGGCATGCTTATTCTCGTTGTATTTTTTCCTGCAAATGATACAAAAATATATATCTACTGCCTTCCGATTTATGTTATTTCATATTTCATTCAACGATTTCTTCAATATTTTCATATTTTTATTTTTTGAATGTGTAAACAATGCTTCGAGTAAACTATACGAATGTGTTGTAGACAAATTGGCAAAGATTTACATGAGATAGTAAATATAATTTTATTCGTTACGTATGTCCATCATTTTGTGTATTGGAAATTGTATGAATTATATATTCTAGTTGTGTCTTCTATTTTAATATTACGCAGCAGTCGTGCTGGTGTATGTTAAAGATAACAAATACGGATATTACAAATAATGACATTAATAATATCGAAAAGTATCTCGCGCCAAAGCTGCCTTCGGTAAATATAAGTATACAGTCATGGCGAATAATTATATTCTAGGCAGTATAGAGATATACGGCTTCTTCGTATATAGTTATTTAAATGTGGATTAGCCGACTTCGTACATACTTGTCTTGGTACCGCGAGTCTCGAGTTGAGAAGAGAGTCACGAAATTGACCTCCTATCTTAGCATCAGAAATTTACTACCGATATTTCCTAATCAAATCTCCCAATTACAGTGTTTCGCATAACTAAGCCAGACAAAGTGATTTTCGTGTCTGGAATACGTTATTTCCTTCTTTTTCCATTCTCTATTCACCTCAGCAGAAATCAAAATACACGTATCCACTGGCCACAAATATTCATTCTAATGTTAAACACGTATAAGTCTAAAATATTTAAATAATTAAATCTTGAAAGATATTTATTCAGACCAAATCATGTAATGTACTTTTTGTTACATTCTTTTTTAACATTGCTGCAATCTAAACAGAGAAGATTGTGATGTTTCTATTCGAAAAAAAATACATGTTATTTATATAAAAATGTTTTTCTACAGAGACTCTCTTTATATATTTATATAGAAATGTATACAGAGAGAAAGAGAGAAATTTAGAATTTTTTGTTGATGTCATCTATGCTGTCCAAGAGAAAACTTCGAGAGTATCGTACGTTTACTATCAGTCACTAATGAAAGAATATTCTACCTGCTTATAAAATAAGACTTTTTTTAACAAATGTTAAAAGAATTCTGTATTTTTAATATTTATGTTATGTTAATCGATATGGAAAATAAATAAAATAAATATTGCTAATAATAAACAACATGATATTATCAACAGAAGGTAAAGCTTCACTTATGGTCAGAAGATTATATAGAGATGATGCAAGAAATGTTCCGGCAGTCGCTAATCTTGTTTTTGTTTGTCTTTTAAAAAAATTTAAATACTAAAATAATTTATTATACAGCATTATCAATGCATTACATAATATCAATCGCCATAGTGCACTTTTATTAAATTTATTCAAATGAAAAATAAAAAATATATTATTCCAATTATAAAAGTACGAAGTCTCATGTTATACAGAGGGTACAATCTGTTTAATGATTGAATTGTACATTATCGTTATAAATATAAAATAAGCAAATGAGGTAAGTTGTATGATTAAATACTATAGTTATTTTAACGATGTTGCGATAAGTGAACAAATTGGTACATTATTCCTTACTGTAACCAGCTGTGAGCAGAACTTTCCAGAAAAACTCGGGGATTTCCTTCAAGATCCTGAAGAGATAATGAGTGAATGAATTGCCAATGTTCTTTATACCTAATAGAGACGGATAATATATGTATAAGAGTATTGGTAAACATACTTGACGCATATCACGCAACCTCTTGTAACCCTAACTTGTATGCAGTGCAGTATAGCAGCAGTTTAAGTACAAGATGCATATACGAAAGAAAGATAGGGGAAAAATGCTAGGAAGGCTACTTTTATACTCATCTGCATAAGTGATTGCATCTAAAACTTAATAAGCGGAATGGAGCATTTTTGAGACATGTCATCTTGTCTTGGCTAAGGATAGTGCTCCAGACAAAATTCATTAAAACGTGCTTTCATAAAGTACGTATGTGCTCATGTCTTCTGCATTAGTATGCTGTATAAAATGGATAGAATCGTTAATAAACATATTTGAATGATTCGAATAAATCTAAATACATCTTATTTATATAGTCGCAATGCAACACTTCAACCTAAGCCTCCAGAATAAAATTTGTCTGTCGGCAGAATAGAAGGAATCTATTTAGAAATTGACAAGTTGAAACGTTTCACTCAAGATGCAAGACATTGTTATGGAGCAGCTTTGCATTCATTTGCGTGAGTTAATTTACTATTTATCATGTTTCCCAAGTGACCTGATTTTCTCTATATAGACATGGGATTATCATGAGACACGCTTTCAACTGTATATTCAGTCAAGGTCACACTGAATTTCTCAAGGGTCTTTGTGTTTTTCTTTGCATGGTGTATTGCTGCATTGATAAGAGAAAGAGAGAGAGATATAAACATTCTTTCCATTTATTTCATGTATAAATATGAAGTTTACTGATGAATTTATATAAAAATAAATTCTTTACAGGCGTGTAATGATGACTATGTGTAAGTTTTATTTACAAGATAAGATTATATTTTTCAACTGTCATGTTAGCTCGCCTCAAACGTATCGCAGAAGTTCGTGGGAAAAGAGAAACAATGCAATTAAACATTTCATTTAATTCCTTTTATATTTCTGATACATAAAAGGATTAGTTTAATGTGAGCATTGGTCCTCGCGATTGCTCGACGTAAATTAGCAATTTGTCCCTCTAGAAGCTTAATCCGTACATTTATAACGACTAGAGCTTCATTTAAGGTAAATTCAACGTAAAGTCCTAAGCCAATATTCAGTAAAATTTTCGAAGCATCTGTTACTTGTGCTTGAACGAAGAAACTGTTCCCTATATCCACTTGAGTTTTGAAGCCAGTTTTCTCAATGTCTGTATTTTGGAATGTCGTTATTATTGATTTTAATTGTATAAATTCTGCAATATCCGCATTCTTGGAATCAAGCTTGTCAGACAGTTGTGCAAGATCAGCCTTTAACACGTCATTCACGAAAGCCTCAAATTCTAAAATCTTCTTTTGTACATCAGGATCCATAGGTGATTAAGTCCTGAATCTATAAGATAAGAAAAATAATGTATTAAAAAGTAACTATAATTTACAATATTTTGCGTGTTGGATGCATGCGGAACCTTTCTTTTCAGTATCTTCCTTATAAATTCTTATAAATTCATAATTTTTGCCCAAACAATTAAATATATATTCAACTACAATAAAAGAAAATTCCTCATTACTTTGTACAAATTTTGTCAATTACTGTATGTAAAGTCAAAATCATAAGTTTATTTGTAATCACCCTATGTACTACTTTCTGAGGTTATGTACTTTTAAATTCATAAGTGACAATATTTCAAAACCATAAAAGAGCGAAACATCTACATTTAAAAAGGAAGATAAATTTAATGGAGAAAATTTTCGTATACATCTAATACATTGAAAATTCAACATACATTTCAGTGAAAAAGTTTGTAATATTTAGGTTATGTTAGACGCACAAATTTTATAAATGAACATAAATGTATGCACTTTATCTCGGACGATGGTGATGCTGTCACTCACACTATCAAATATAGACTCAAATACGTGTCAAGGTTGAAGAAACAGTATTATAAAAGTTCTCCGATAAATATAACTTCATTTTTATACCAGCTCCTAGCTGCGCACGAGACCACCATGCGACAACTTGGCTCTTGGTGAAGATCTCTGCAAGTTTACTCGAGATACGTTAGAGGTCTACCTTAGCAATAGCTGCTGAGGAAGATTCCTAGTAAATATAATTTAGATATTTTCTCGGATGACACGACAAAAAAGTGCTGCAAGCATAGAACACTGCTGCTTTTAATTTACATTAAAAACGCACGTATTAGATATACTTGGAAAGATAAACTTACTTTATATGCTTGGTTTACTATGGATGAACTCACCACACATGTTGAATTTCGACATGAACGGGCACACAGAGACACGAGAAAGTCGAACCGGACTCGAATCGTTTACTCTCTTTTTTTCTTTTCTTTTTTTTCTATCTTTTCCCTTCAAATTGATATACGATTTCTGTACATCCAAACATACGAATATATTTTGTTTCACGAGTCAGATGAATCTTAGCTTCACGTTGTATTATAGCGCACGTTTTAATGCAAATGACATCACGTCGCACACATAACGTTAATGCAATTCGCGATATACGCTTATTAATTTATTTGAGGAGCCGATATAACCACTATATGCCTTTCAAAATTATACGACGCTCTCATCTTTCTCCGGCGTTTCAAGGTCTTACGCCGACAGATATGTCGACTTGTACGTGCGTGCAAGTATGTATCGTCGGGCCGATATGATCGAAACATTTTTAACCGGGATACAATGTAAAAGCCTAACGTATGCTTCACCGTTCAATTTGCACATTTCCTAGATAAAAAGTACTATTATGTTAATCCGTACGATAGTTTCAAGATTTACAGTCACATGTCATGCTGCGACATCGTACCGCCGGCAGCTAGTGTGCATTTGCATAGTGAGCAGTGATCACATAGTATTCACTTACCTTAGCGCAGCAGAGCGTGTAATAATTCCGTTACGGGCAGATAGTCGCCGCACTGCAATTTAGGAAAGCACCAGTAGACGGAGTAATTGCGGCCCGCACTGTACGTATGCATTTATCGCGAATATTTATGTAATTTTTCGAGAAATGTCAACGCTAATGCTGTACTCTTGGATGATGATGGGCAATGTTACTACGCGACTCGAAAACAGATGACAGGAAAATCTACACGCACAGATGCAGAATGCAGCAGCATGCACTCGCTATTTTCAAGCAAGTTTCAAGCAAGACAACGTGTCGTCTGCCGTTTTCGTTCTGAAATATCGCAAGTGTAGAGTCATCGAATTTCTCAATCAAAGATTCAGGAGTGACAAGTGATGAAATCATCTTGTAGTGTAGCTTTGGAAAAGACGGACAATGTTTCGCGACACAGTCAGATTTAATCAAATATAGTTGACGTCTAACCAATCTAAGGTGACGATTTCCGCAAATCTCAGGTACTCGCGGTTGTCGGTGCGTTATCTCGTCGATCTCTCTTTTTTTTTTGTTTTTTAGAATTCGTTCGGTACTGTCAATGAAAATCCAAGCCGTCTAAAGTGCCGTTTCAGCGACATTTCGATTCCATAGAATCGAAATGCCCGCTATTTTCATTCGCATTCAAGCCGCGATAACATTGCATATCACTTATCTATCTCAAGCGACAGAGGCAGTCGAGGTCAAGGTCGACGACTGATTATTGTGACGCCCGATTCGAGCGAGCTTTAGTCGCCCAGTGAGCGAGAAGCCGAGTCGAAACTCGGCTACTTTCTTTCGAATGCTATCATAAAGCAAATAATGTCCGGTCAAGGCCGTCAACCGGCAGGAACTGCAGGGCTGGAATATACGGAGCCGTATACGACGGGGACCTGCGGACGCAACGTTGGCTCTCTCGCTCCTCTAGAGAACGGTGGCTAACAGAGTCCCAGGTCCGCGGAATACTTCCGGCGCGCTTCACTGTCCCATGTACTGTCCGTAATATGCTCCGTTTCTCCGTGAATTTCACGATGGCGTGCTTCGACCAGGTAGCACAGTCGATCGCCCAAGGCGACGAATTCAAGCATTGACGCCCACCGGCGAATTTCGGTTACCATGCCGCGCTATTAAGCACTGTTCACACAGACTGACGTTGCACCTTAAGATGCAACGCTGAATGACACAAGTGGTAATTTTGCGCCAATTCTATTGTAGAATATCGATACAGATAGCGAAGATAGCGTCGGCGGTAGCGAAGGGGAGCGGTAGTCAGAACCCGGCGCAGACATTGGCAGCACTCTCCTTTCTGATGATCTCTTTGTCCTGGTGTGCACATCATCGAGCGAGCGCGCATGAGAACGATGCAGCTGCATATACGAGTCCTTACAAGCAAGAGGATAAGCTCACAAATATAAAATTGATTTGTTTTTTTTTTCTAAAGCCGTCTCTCGTTCATAAACGTATTTCATTTATAGGCGATCTTGGAGAAAGAAAGAGAGAGAGAGAGAGAGAGAGAGAGAGAGAGAGAGAGAGAGAGAACATGTGCTTTGTTTTCGGTTGAATATTTTGCGCACGATCCGGTGTATTATATTGACGTATCCGTCGGTGTAATGGATCCACGTTGCTTTCAATATACCGATTCCGATTCCAACTCACGAATTAGACTTGTTACTTATGAACGACTATGAAAGAAACTCCGACTGGAATTAGAGCGTTTCTGAAGAAATGATAATCCCGATGACGATCGAAGACTTGATACGCGATAGACACGGCACATAAGTCGCGTGTAAATGTGCGCGCGTGTTTCTCCGCGCTAATTCCGTAGTGGATCGTTTTTCGTGAAACCAGCATAATTCTCGGCCGAAATACTTTCTTCGCTGGATGCCGTCGATTAGTCACACGCAAAAACAGATCCCACACAATTAAGCGTCAATTGAGAGTCGCCGTTGGGACACGCTCGCAAAAAGCCCCGTGTGCAGGTGCACTACGATGCGCAATCACGGGAGGGGTATCGCCCTCTTCTTATTCGCGCGTTGAACTTAAGGTACGAAATGATCGGCTCTTCTTCTCTCCGACATCTTACAGATTGCGTGCAACCAAGCGGTTGCCTTTGGTTTTCCATTTTTAGCACCCGGTGTGAATGCGGTCTTCGTGGCCGTGTAATAACTCTGTGTTACGGGATCATCTTACATGTAACATCCGTAAAACATCTGAATTTGGACCCAGCGCGATGTATAGCATAATCGTTTGCCTCTGCAATCGAATCGGATAGCCGCAATTTTTCTAATGACACCTTCATGAAATGAGCACCCACGATCTTTGAGAAGCTAATTTTTTTCTTAACAAATGAAACGTCAGTGTTTCCTTTGTTTGCGCGATGCATAATTCGATGTGTAATTTCAATCGTTAGAAGTATACAGCGATTTAAAGAAATGGCTCGCATCCGATTTCGAGATGAAAAAAATAATAAAATACGCCAATTCAGAATCGACTGTAGTTTTTAACTGTAGCTTCACGTAATCCCGCTGATTAACCGTTTGAGTCCCAAGCAGCGCGATCGCGCTGTTCAGATTTTATGTCGAGAAAACCCAGTACATTTCGATCATTGTGGACAACTGACGGTGCGTTACCGATTGTCGAAGTCGCGCGCTCAGATTTACTGAAGCAAGTATATCACACCGATCCTTTTAATGTAAATAGTACATTTTATAATAGGTAGAATAATACTATAATAATGCAATAATACATTACAAAATAAAAATTTTTATTTCATTGTTATCTTCTCAATAATTTTTATCGAACAAAACTTGAAATATTTATAAATTTACAGTACGCATATGTAATAATACAGATGTATTTTATAAAATAACGAATTACAAATTAACAATATTTTTGTGTTATGAACAAATAATTTAAATGGAGAGTAACAATTATAATTTGTAACATCGGTGTTTATCAAAACATGTTGGATGGATTCCTTTTGCTTCGTTGCTCCGTTGCTTCGTCTAATCATTTTGAAACACACAATTATTAACAATGAGAAACACTTACGCAAGAATACGTCCGATCGCTTTGCAAACTACAATAAATGTGACAGAGCGATGAGAAAAAGACGAGAATCGCGTTACCTAACAAATACAAGAAGCGGTATTGGTCCGATTAGGATTCATCGATGTAAAATAAACAAAGCGCTATCGCGCTGCTTGGTATTTCTCGACCTAAAATAAAACAAGCGCTATCGCGCTGCTTGGGTCTTTTCATACGCATTTATAGAAAGCGCGGTTGCGCTGTTTGGGATTCTTCGACAGTGTTTTTTCAATACCCCCTGGGACTCAAACGGTTAAAGTGCCTCGCCTTCACTTGCGCTGAGCTATCTCAAAACGTTTCCTAATTATTCCCAATCATTCTTAGCGCGCTTTGTTTCTTCGCTTATGGGCCGACCAGCAGTTCAGCAGGGAAACCCTAATAACGAGGTTATTATCCACCATCCACGGTGGATTTTAACCTCGATGCAAGTGCACGAGGTTTGTATTGCGACAAAATCTGAATAGTTTTCACATTAGAGATCGCAGAGTCATTTGATCGGTGCGTACACGCCTTTCCCTTATGCTTCGACTCTTATGCTGCTTCAATGCCTCGCCCTTCTCCAGCTACTTGCTTATCCTGTTTACATCGTGCAAGTTGACTCTTTTTCGTTTCTTCTTCCGCGAGCCGATATGTTTGCTGCGTCGTTTTTCCCATCGCGTCCTTTCACGTAAGGTAATGCCAAGGAGAGTTTTCCATCTCCTCGCTGGAGCGCGTTCATGACAAAATGCCTGTTCACGTTTGCGAGCGCGTTGCGCTTCTCTTGAACGCGCGGACTTGCGGCGCCAAGTCGGTGTTGTTTGAACAGAAAGTACGGTGACTCGACGATAAAGGCAAAATTGTAATTGCTGCGCTCGAGCTTAACGCGTTAACTACGTTCCGGTAGCCACGATGCGCTCTTTATTTTACGAAGCGAGACACCTCGGGAGAAAGTCACGAATATATGTAAAAACGCGAAAGTCAGCCGAAACTCGAACGCCGCTGCGTTCGAAAGGAGACGTCACGCTCCGCGGACGCATCTTCGAGCATGATCGACGAGCAATTATCGGTATTTTCGCCGATCTCGGATCGC